AAATTAAGTTGATATTTCAGCTGATTCATTTAAAACGACGCACGAATTAACTGAAACAAAACTGTGAAGACAAAAATTGTTTTCTAACAGTTTCAGTTTTATAGATTCTCTACTAGATCTATTCGAAAAAATCATTTTGGTCTCAACACAATCAATATTTTTAACGCAAGACAAAAACAGTTTTTCTGAAACGAGGTAAGTAGTCTATGCTAATGATATTTTCTTTTGAAGTAGTGCTTGAGATTTTCTTCTTTTCGGTTTTTAACCTTATCTAAAACCACTTGTACCAAGTTAAAGATATAATTTGTGTGTTGGCAACAGATTTTTTTTCTCCAGATAACGTAAGTAACGCCATTCGTGCATATCATTACGGAATCTGTATATAAGACATACATTGTTGAAAGCAGATGTCATTTCACTATGCTGTTGTGTCCGGAGATGATATAATGCTCCTTCAAAAAATGTAGTATAAGTAATTATTTTCAGTTGTTTGTGGTATCGAGATGGTGTAATAAAAAGTATTTAAAATCCAAAAGTTTCCTCATATGAGTTAACACACTCACTAACTTCTTTGCATGCCTTTTATACAAATTCGCTTATTCAAAAATTATTCCTTGCAAGAAATAATTTTAGTTAATATTTATTATTTTATATAGTAATAGTAGAAAAAAATTTGAATTATAAGACGCATGAATTGTACAATAATTATGCTTAAAATTCAAAAGATTTCGTATTTAACTTGTGGAGGACAATTTATGTATATTAAAACTTCACTCACAGCTTTTTTTTAGCTATGTTACGGATTTTGTAAAGCGTCAAAACTCATTGCTTAACATTGTAAAAGCCCATTTTGAGTCATGTCCATTTTCGCAAACGCGCATTTTGAGTCATGTCCATTTTTGCAAATGCGCATTTCGAGCTATGCCCATTTTCAAAAGAGCGCATTTCGACCTATGTCCAATTTTAAAAGCTCATACATCTAAAGCCTGAACTGAAAGCTCTAATGATACCGACCTGTATTGATTTTGTACACAATGTTGTTTCTTTTGCGTATGCGAAATTTATTTAGCTGCGACTTTTTATATGAATTTGTATAAGAACTTTATAAATTTTTGGGTTTCATTTCATGCTTTTAAATATTCTAATAATTCTGTTAATTATCATTCAAATCTCACATTTTTCACAATGGTTGAAAATCTATTTTATTTTAATTTCTAAATGTTTTTAGACCTTAAATTTTTAACCATCCCTGTCACACAAGTTTCTGATCTTATTTTTTTATTTAATTTCCCTGTTCAAGTTTGTTCTTACTACCCTATTGGTCTCCTTGCTGAAACTTGCTTTTAATTTACTTCTGCATTTATATGTTTCCTTCCATCATTTTTTTCATTGTAGCACTGCTGAAAATTCTTCATTACAAAACCAAAACTATAGAATGTTTGCATATGAAGGCGTACTTGTGATTGTTTTCATTTATATGTCAGACAAAGTTCTCTTTTTCATCACCCAAGTAACAGTTATATAGCTACAAACATACTTAAATCTCATTTTCGCATATTAATTTGTGATACCATAGATATAAAAAGCAATTAAATTAATAGTAATATTAATAATAAATCAAAACAAACGAAGTGAATCATAAATTAATAAGTACAAGTGGAAAAGTCAAAATAATATTTGAAATGGAAATATGCTTTTTTCTTTTTTTGCGTTATTTTCATGCTTGTAAAAATAGAATTCAATGCATTTTTGGATTTATTTCTGTGTTACCATAAAACAATTGAATTTGTTTTTGGTACTGATGTTGAGAAAAGTATTTTCGGAACAGAAAAATAAATTCAATTGAATTTTAGATTCTGAATTGTTGCCAAATACTTTTAAAAGAAAAATTCTTAATCAAATATACATATTTAAACAAAGTGCACTGGAGTGTGATCACCTTTTATTTTCGAACGACCTTTCCCTTTGTGAAGGTGAGGTGAACAATGCTTGAATTCAATTATTTATTCAACCTGATTATAGAGAGATTTTAATTGCATTATAAGGTTTATTTAAAATATATAAAAGGTAGCTTTGTTCACGTAACAGTAATGAATTCTGTAAAAGTCATGAGAAATGAAAAAAGAAGTTTAATTTAAATTCGATAAATATCAATCCCGAATTCCACTGAAATTAAATACAAATTTGAAAGAAAAAGTCCTTCGTACAATATATGTTTCCGGGGGGGGATAGCTTGTTTGGTAGGACATTGGACTCTAGTACGTGAGAATGGGAGTTCGAATCCAGCCGGTTGAAGAATCCGCGTGTATTAAAAGGTGACTGGTTCTCATTAAATTTGTCGGGGTCACAAATTCCTCCAAGTTCCCATAACAAATCAATAACTCTTTGGGAACTAAATTGGAGATTGGTCGTTCTTTGTTGTAGTTACCAAAAAAACCTTTCATTCTTAACTACTAAATTAAAAACATAAATGTAGCACACAAAAAAAATTGCGAACCAAAAACAAATAAAATTTTAATGCTTAATTTAACGAAAAAATATCACCTTGTGAGAAAAACACAAGAAAGTTCAACTAAAAAGAAGAAAAAAGAATGTTCTATTGATTCTCTTAAAAAACAAAGAGAAAACGTGAATCGCCAACACAATATGTCCTTTTTTAATTTCATGCTTTTTGCCAACCTGGTTAAATTTGACTTCAAATGCAATTTAAATTATGCTCTTTGAAAATAATCGTCTGCTACTATGTCTTATTTATGGTTATTAGNCGGCCAAATGAAAGATTTAAAAATGCCACACGACATGTTGGATACATAATACTTTTGCTGACCTATCGCAGAGTTATAAGAGAAAGGATTTTAATATGCAGTTTTCAGATTTTTACAGTGTTTGATTTCATATTTTTTTACTGTTCTGATTTTTCTCTATCGCTTTAAATATGCAACTAGGATATCGTATTGTTATTGATCTTCTGGATCAAGGATTTCGGGTAACAAAAAAAAATTTTAAATCTCAAAACACAAGTCATCTCTCTTAATTTTTTTAAACTTTAATGCTCTTTGTAGCGTAAAAAGTGCTTTTGTTAAGTGGCTGTGATGTAGTAGGTGTACTTCATCCACCGACCTTTTGGTTAACTGCCGAACGTCGATTGCGGCGAGTAGGTTCTTAAAATATTAATAATAATCTTGGAACATGCATTTGAATAACTGAATTGATAATTTATCCAGACTTTTGATCTTGTTCTTTTAAGCCATGGTATTTGCACGATTTGTGTTTCATGACCATGAGTGAAAAAAAAACCAACATCAAGCCCAACATATAAATAAATAATCATCTGAAAAATCGTTTCGAGAATATATTTAATCTCTAATTTACTTTCAAGCTTAGTATTGACAAAATGTGACCATTTATTGTTGTTTATCAGTCCAAAATGTGTTCAGGTAAACCAACACCTCCTAGAAAGAACAGGCTTCAGCACGGGTTACCATAAATATCCCTTAGTAGTCCAAACGTAATGACATATTTTGTATTTTCAACCACTGCGCAGCTTAGTACCCTTAACGTAATGACATCTTTCTTATTTTTCGACTACTGCGCAGTTAACTTTGTTAGATCGGACTACTAAATTGATCCGTGCTGAGGCCTTCCTACTTCTAGGAGGTGTTGGGTAAACCCTGGTGTTGGTGGCACTTGGGGCAAGTTAGGTACGTATTTATATCCTCATAAAAACGCAAACTCTTTTAAGTGGCAGCTGCTAAAGTGAAAGAACGGGGTATACATATTTTCCTATTAGAAGACAGGGTTAAGGCTGGGCCTTGTCTACTATTACTGCTACCAGTGGTATGTAAGAGATATCACCCAATCCTTCTTAATTACTCGATTGCTTCTTAGAGAAAAGTTTAAGATATGTTAGCTTTGAAGAAGAAGCTGGTAAGAGACCACAGTCTGCTCCTTCAAGACTTGACAAGTCATTTCCATGTAAATTTACGCGGGGAGGAATACTTTGAAATTTTTTTTACTACGCTGAAGGGAAATGTATTTTGATTCATGCATCTTAACCCCCAAAAGGTTCCAGATGCATTGAGCTGTGGCTATCAGTCTGTATCCAGACCAAAGGTTATCGTAATTGTGTTTTCTCAGAATAGTCATCAGACACTTATAGTTCGTTCACCAGGAGTTGGCACTTGGCTCCACCTCCTCGGACGCAGACTTCATTTCGGCGCGGGAGAAGAGAAGCATCTCCACGCTTGAAATTGAGACAACCTTAATGCGCGCCAAACACAAATAACGACTTCTTTTTCAGTCACTTACTTCGCTTTATCATCTGCTATTACCATCAGTATTTCGTTTCACTAACTAATTAAATATATTTTAAATTTACAAACTGCTGTTTTCCCAGCAAAATGTTTCAAAAAGGACAAATTATTCATTCAAAAGAGAGAAGTACCATAAAAAATGGGGTGAAATATCAACAAATTTATGAAATATTCAATGTTAAAAAAAATGCAAATAAAGTTTGAAAAATAAATATTTTTGCCATTCGATCGTCAAATAGCACCTTGTTTCCAAAATAACGAAATAGTATCGTCGCATACCACGTGATGAAGGCGGAGTCAAGTGCCAACTCCTGGTGAACGAGCCATATCTATCTATTGCAAAAAGTTCACTTCTGAAAACAAAATAGAAATCTGGGTTGACGTAGAGAAATTGTATCTTCTGCAGTTTTCAATTAAAATTCTGCTAAAAAAAACCAATATTGCTGCCGTCAGTATACATTTTGATGTCCCGTTTGAGGTTTTCTGATGTGTTTACATTTTAATACCTATAAATGTTGATTCAACTGCTTCTATCACTTTAAAAATTGCAAAGTAATAAATTTTAACGTTACACAATAGCTAAATTGAACTATAAAGGTGACATTTTATGAGACATTAATAAAATTTTACTTAAAAAGCAAGGTGTACTAACAATTCTATTTTAACTAGGTTAATATAGAAAGTTAAAAAAAAATTACTTTTCTATATTAACTAGGATTAATAGTTTGAAACAACGCATAGTTCACGCTTAGCTTGTTATAGAAATGTCTAGGTTGAATTCAAACTTTGTTAGGCGGATTTTCTTCTTTAGAAATATAGGTAAATATACTCATAATTTGAAATCTTCTCTTTTTTCTTCTTTAATGTACAAAAATTTCTACAATCCTCTAATGTGAGAGTCGATACGCTGTAATGTTAACATGAAGATATAATGTTAATGTGTTGTCGACACGAATATCTCGTCCGGCTCGCACCGACCTGCTGACGTAAAATATTATCAGTTGTAGACGGATCATGTGCTAGAGTTCTCTTGCCCTCAGACTAACCGTGGGAGGCTTAAAAAAGAGTAATTATACATCAGTTTATTTATGTTAGCAATTAGATACATATGTTTCAAAAATCGGTAACCTCAATAAATTTTAAAGATTTATTAATAGAGAAAGAGAATAAAGTTTTTAAACTCTAGCAAATCATTAGTTTATTTCCTAAAAAATAGCATTTTAAAAAATGACTAAGGTTTAAATGTGTGAAACTTGAATTTCCCAGATGGTATACTTTTTAAAAGCATTTTTTGATATTTTCATTCTAAGAACTAAATTCCCAGTATTGCATCTCGTAATTCGCTTTTTCATTGTTGATTAATTTATCGGGCTTTTCACAATTACTTTTACATTTACACAGAATTATTTCATAATTTTCAAACATTTTGAACGAAAAGTGCTTTCAGGTATAAGGACAAAATATATCGAGCAGAATATAGCAAGACAAAATCTTGTGCGGTCAAAACTTTGAGTGGGCGAAATCTCGAATGGGCAAAATCTCGCTTAGACAAAATATTGCGTGCTTAATATGATAACAAAGATATTCCATTAATGACACGATAAAAATTTGATTACAAAAACACATTCCCTCCCCCAAACTGCAGATTTTCAGAAAATAAATTTTCGAACGTAACATTTTGTATTAAATACTTTTCATCTGTAAAATATGCAAACTTTCAAATACAGTCCCGCTTTGTTCAAATACGACCACAATGATTTAACATTGAGTAACTTGAATTGTGGAATTACTGTTAACTCTCACTTATGATTTCATAACGACTGAGCATAGTGTTTTCTATGTCATTGCAAACAATATTTTTTTTTTATGATAAGTTTAATGTGAGTGAAGGAAATGTACTGAATTTTGTTTTTTGTGCTTGGTGTTCGGAATTTATTTACAAAGCAACAAAATTCATTTAAAAGAGATATTAACTACCCTATTTATTTTATGTCCGTGCCTCAAGCTCTAATGCAAAAAATTGAAATCGACTGTTGTGAAGTAAACGTGGCAGAGACAGACGATTTCAAATAACATCGTTGGAGATAATTAGCAACACTTTTCAAAACTTTTTAGACTCAGTAGAACATTTATTTCCTTGCATCAGAATAGAGAAGAACCCATCTGAGATATTTAGGGCGATTTAACATTTATATATCAAAAGTTAATTAATCGAACAATAACGGGATTTTCTAAGACAAGCAGCACTGACGATCGTACTAGAAATAATTGTTCGATATTAATATCTTAGACGTAGAAGAAACACCTGAAAATGCCAAACGAGGAGGACGAGTGACAGTGCACAGGATGTTATCATTGTTATCATTGAAGTGTGTTATCATTGTGATCCCAAGTGTTATCATTGAAAGTGATGGTGCTGTTGATCGTTCGGATTGGTATACTTTCGTTTGTATTCTGCATTCTTATTGGAGAAATGTTTTAATAGTTTTCTTTTAAATGTATGGAAAAAAAATTATGATATTAACAAATAGTTAAACTATACTCAGTTGCGCGAAAGCTTATCGATATCCGAAGCCTAATGTGCCCATGCTAGTTTTCGTGACTTTACGCTCTAGGGTTTTCTGATTAAGTGGTCAGCCGAGCACGGAAGCCCTAGTGTTTCGTTTCCGAGTATGCTTCGTGCTGTGATACCCCCCTTATCACAACTGGAATGAAAACTGACAACGCATGGGCAGTTAACTATCTCAGTTAGTGATGTTTTAGTTTGGAAGATAGTAAATTTGGGCAGATCCTCTTCCATAGAGTTGTAAAGGAAAATGAATTACTTTTTATTTGTTGCATTTTAAATAAATTATTTCCTGTTTGTCATGAAGTCTAGTCCGTATTTATCATTAGAATACGTTATTCATTTTAATGGCCCATTGTTAGCACGGACGAAATAAAAATATTTAAAAATTTATCATACACAAAAAGGATTTTTTTTTTCGATCAAGTAAAATGACTTTTATTTTGAAATTTGTATTTTTCTCAATTTTGCATACCGCTTGTTTTTTAATTACCATCTTAATATAAATTAATCTCTTCAGAACTTTTACTAAAAAAATATTAAAAGCGACATTATTAACTGATAAAGTCTTCACAGTTTTACTCAGAGTTTTTCAGATTATTATTAGATCAATTTACAAACTTTTTAGCAGTGACATCATAACAAATTGTACCTAATAAAATTTTTCAATAATTTCAAATTTAATTAATTTTTAACAAAATTTTTAAAAAAATTCAAATTTTTAGGTTATTAAATTTGTGAAGTGATTAATATATTTTTATGGAAATGTTCTGAAATCATGTTCTAAATTTTCATTCCAAAAACTACCGCCAGAACGGAGACTCCAATATTTTTGTTTTTATAAGCGAACATATATCCAACAAAAATGCAAAGTTAAAGAAATTTCATTTAAAAGTAGTGCACATATAGATCTATAAATAAGGGGTTGGGAGGATATTCTATTGCTAAGTCATGAATCATACCATAAAATTCACTCGTAATAAAGTAGATTGCTCTAAACAAGTATAGGTGAAGATGTACGAGTTCACCGTGCACTTGCATATCTTTACCAGCACTTATTTAGATGAATCTAGAATCCCTTTTAACTCCTTCCTTCTCGCTCCCGTGAAAATGATGGGGTGAGGTTTCACCCTCTATTTCTCGCTCCCGTGAAATTTCCAGGCTGGAGTGTTCAACAGTAACGCGCCAATAAGAATGAAACTAATTCATTTCTTTTGATTGGAAAACATTTCATTTCTCATTTTACACACCAGATGGCAGTACACAGGATATTTTTTAGGTAATTATGCATAGTTAGTTTATTTTAAACTAGGTGTCAGCACAAGATGTTTGGATGTCAGAAAAAAAAATATGCACTTTTATGACTGTTTTCTTGAAAATTAACCGATCGTTAAGGAGTTAAAGATAAATATTGCACAATTGATGGCTTTAAAAGCATTGTTTCAAAATGTTTCTTAAGCATTCCTTTAATAATGTGCAAAACCTTTTATTTTTCATTTCTATTGCGTTTTGAAAAAGAGAAGCGCGCGTAGAAAGTAAATTTTAAAAGACGTTCTTTTTCAAATTTCTTGCTCTATTTAAGAATGAAACTTTTTTTCAAAAGATAAAGCAGGTAAATTATCTGTAAAATACATAGTAAATTTTAAGTAAACAATGAAATAAAATTCTCAATTTTCTTTCCAGTTGAAAGTAAAACTTATGAAGCAGGACGAAATTATTCTGAAGTAAGTAGTAATTGGACAATAAGGAACATCACCGAGGTCGACATTCCGAAAATAGCTGAAATCCGAAAATCGCCAACTTGTCACGATTGCTTATATAGCCTGTATTCCTTTCATAAGTTGGATCCAGAAGCGATTATTGTAGCTGAAAATGATAATGGTAAAGGTTTACCTGATTCTAAATAAAAATGAAATAACACAGTTAATTACATTAGCTATTTTTCTTGCGAAAAATATGGTTTCAAGAATTTTTGCTTTCTTCGTAAAAAATTTTTTCCAGTGTCAGGATTCTAGTTGTTTATTCACCAATTCTAAATTTTTTTCAAAGCAATTTTCTTAAATGCTGATTTGAAAATTTTAAAACATTTGTTTTTCAAAACAGTACATGAATTGCTGAAGGAAATCTATTCCGATTATGTTGAGAATTCCAGAAAAAATGATTTAAAAAAATACTTGAGAAGTTTTGGAATAAAATGCAAGCAATATTATCCCTTTTTAAATAAAGCTTTGAAAAGAGTCAGTATATTTTCAATCGAGAATATGGTAAAATATTCTCTATTGAAAATATACAGAGGGCTTCATTATCCCCATCTTTATATATTTTTTACACCTTATGGTTTCAAAAACCTTGTCAAACAATGAGGTCAAAACTGCATACTCCTTAGGAGTGATAAATTTGCATTTTAAAGACGAAAAAAAAAGGAAAAGATCTAAATCACTGTTGGTGAAAGTGGAATTAGAAACATTAAAACCAGTTTCAATGACAGATAATAATTTATTTATTTATTTCCAATGAGCTGCACAATCGGACTTGCCGATGAACAAACCTAGTGCGTTCTCCAGAGGTGGTATCCACTCTTTCAGGACCACCACAGTGGGTGAGATACCGTTGGTCATGTTAATTTTGACGTCTAGTTTCTGCCACACTAGATGGCAGCACCGAGACTCTATTTGGACGCTAAAGTGCATTTAGGATTTAGTTTTGCCGGAAATGCCAAGAGCCAATAAGCACTCTAGGCACACTGACAGAGAATAAGGATTTGCCTAATAATCTGTTACTTTCTCTCAGTTTCCGCCTACAATTAATGAATTCATGAACTTTAATATAACCTCTCACTGCCTTCATTTGTCAGATTTTTATAATGTTTTTGCGTGTTTTTCTCAAATAGTTATTTATTTATGACCTCCAATGTACAGTGAGCAAAAAAGTCATAAATCGTGATTTAATGATAGGAGTTTCATGTACTAGAACTTAATGGTTCAGGTGACTAACCTTAAATTTGTTTGAGGTGAACCGGGTTGAAATCCCTGCTATGGCTGGTCTATACGAATTCCGCATCCGGCTTGCATAAACCACAGAGCTGACGTAAAATATCCTCAGTGGTAGAAGGATCATGGGCTAGAGTCCCCTTGCAGTCAGGCTACCCATGGGAGGTTCTCGTGGCCTTCCTCTCCATGTGACGCAAATGCGGGTTAGCTCCATCAAAAAGTCGTCCAAGTAGACAAATTTCTCCCAATACTTGATCCAGGAGTTCCTTTGTATTCTGGATAGGGTTCAAAATTACAAGACTCGGAGTTGAAGCTTGGAGTTTCTGAGAAACGTAACTTAATTAGTTAGGCGAAGAGTGAGAAATCGTTATGCTATCATTGACGCATATGATGCTTAATTAAATAATTTAAGTAATAGGTAATAATTGAAAGTAAAATACGTACTAAATAGGAGCATTAGTAAAGAAAATGTGCTTATGAGAATCGTAAAAAATCGTAATGCTACTATTGTCATCCATGATACTCGATTAAATTTGTATGAATGTAAAATGAAATTCAAAAATAAGTTTTGTACCCTAAACGGTATTGGTTTACTTACTTTGAAAGTACAAAAGTATATATGCTATCGTGTAAAAGTTTTCGATTACTCTGTGGAAAAAACATTTTGGCCTTCCTGTGCATTTTTTCTTTTTTTTTTCGGTCGAGTGTGCTATCATCATTGCTCATAATCGACATATCAACATTGTAATCAGCATATATATCACCCTTGATTAAGGAATTTTTAACATTCCTGTTATTTAATCATAAATTGCCCTTCGTTAAAATTTGAACCTTTGCACGCATGTTCCTTTTCTTATACAAGGTGTTTATAAAGTCCCGGACCCATTTTGATGTTTAATAACTCATAATAAAGATAGATAAAAATTATTACATAAATGGCTAGATAGACTCAAAAAGTTTCATGACCTTTATCAATGAACTTCCACGTGTGCCCCCTTCGTCGCACGGAGAATATCAAGTCAATAGTCAATTTCACGCCAGGTAGCGGCATCCACAGAGGCTATTGCGGTTATAATTCTGGCATTTAGGTCATCAATTTTCGACACCATACTCCTGTAAAGATTGTCCTTTATAAATCCCCAAAGTAAAATTTCCAGCGGCGTTATATCAGATGATCTGGGTGGCCAAGGAATTGGACCTCCTCGCCCAATCCATCTTCCTGGAAAATGGTCATTCAAAGAACTACGAACGATGATTCCCCAATGAGGTGGTGCACCATCTTGTTGCAAAAAGACATGTGGCTGAAGCTCTTCTAGTTGTGGAAATACGAAGTTTTCTAACGTGTCTAAGTATACGACTGATGAGACCGTCTTTTCTGTAAAAAAGAAAGGTCCAATGCATTAGTCCACACCACACATTAACCTTTGGGGAATCCCTTTGTGTTTCACGGTATTGAAACTTTTTGAGTCTATCTAACCATTTATGTTATTAATTTTAATCAATCTTTATTATTTTATGAGTTATTAAACATCAAAATGGGTCCGGGACTTTGTAAACACCCTGTATATTTCGAGCCTAAGAACCAATTTTGCACAATTTAGTGCAAATTCTGCACGAACAAATGTCAATATAAAAAATAGTATGCTCATAAAATAGCGAGTGGAACGCAGTAAATAATGAAGCAAAGCCTATACTTATAAGTATTCAACTAAACAATTAAATAATTGTATTTTGACTAAATTGTTATAGATTTAGTACTTACTTTGATGTACGAAAACAGTTAAAAATGAAAAACACTATTTAATACCTGACTGAGATTAAAATTGTATTTGATTTAAAGCGGACCTTGCTTTCTTGTCGATAAGCATACTAAGAAAATTTGAAAAAGAATTATATATTTTTTTACTCCATTTTGAATCAACATTAATGTCGAGTTTGGCCAAAGACTTTTTACGCTAGTGTATGTATGTACGCCATGTACCATTATTGATGCTTACTTAATTTTATAAATAAGCATTAATTAAAATGAAAGGACTGAACAGTTAATCGTTATTTCGACAGAATGAAATTTTTAAAAGAAAAATATGTTTTCATTAATCTAATGAAGTAAAGCCACCGAAAGAGCAACAAAAAATAATAAAAAAATATGGGAACTAATCTTTATTAATTGCTTCTGTATATGCGTTTCAGTTTTGGGCATAATTTCGTAGTGTTGATCAATCCAGAGTTTTATATGATTTACTTTTTTGAACCCGTACGAAAATCGGGTATTCATCTAGTATATGAATAAAGCTAAACAACAAGAAATGTCTTTAAGATATGCCACATAAATAGATATACTGTAGTTTTGATTTTATCATTATGAACCTTTTTCAGTATGAAAACACAGAACAAAAGAGGGGAATACAGAATTAATCTCAGAGATTCGTCATATTTCTCTTTTTCTTTCTCTATTTCTCTTCTGTGTTTACATGCTGAAGAAGTCTAATAAACTACATGAANGATTTTATCATTATGAACCTTTTTCAGTATGAAAACACAGAACAAAAGAGGGGAATACAGAATTAATCTCAGAGATTCGTCATATTTCTCTTTTTCTTTCTGTGTTTCCATGCGGAAGAAGTCTAATAAACTATAGTATATTTTATTATGTATTGTCGCCATCTTTTTACACTGATCACTTTTTCTTCCCAATGAAAATCTTTTTTAATAATACTTGAGAAGAAAGGAGAACTAGGTAACAAATATGCTGCGTTTATTGCGCGCTTGACGCTGGAAGGTTGGTGCAACTATTCCTCAGTCTCTGTATCTTTTCTAAACGTACGAATTACATAAAATTGTTTAAACGCAATGTTGATGATTTTAGACTGACATTTTAATTAAATACTTTTGCAGGTAATATTATTGGAACACATTCCATGCTAACTTTCGCAAAAGGCTTCTATACATCCGGATTAACGTATGTTCATCCCAACTACAGAGGAAGCAATCTTGCATTTCAGGTAAGATTAATATATAAGATGTTCTGCAGCGAATTCCCGTTAACCTCTTGAGAGCATCTAATACAGTGGTTCCCAACCTTTTGTGGACCATCGCCCCCCTCTTGGGTTTGGCTGACACATATCGCCCCTTTCTCTTTTTGCTCAAAAAACCATTCATTGTAGCTTGTGAGCAACAAAACACTAAAAATATGCTACGCTATTTGATTTTAATTTAAATTGTAATGTAAATAAGGAGGCACATTTATCCCGCCATTTTTATTAATTAAAAAAAATTGTGCATCTTTTTTTTTTTAAAAAAGANGTTTTTGATGCAGAGAAGTACGTACCTCAGTACTGTTGACAATTATCGGTCGCTGTTCCAGCAATTCAGTACATGTTGGAGGAGCGTGAGGGGGGGGGGAGAGATCGTGAAAAGAATTCCTTGCATAAACCGGGCAGTGGCACTTGACCTTAAAAAAACATCAGTGCTCGGAATACCGGGCAAATGTATACCGGGCAGTGGCACTTAACTATACCTTGTATATATTTCAGACATTTATCAAAAGTCTAGTCAACTAGACCTAGTATATGTGCCACTGCCCGGTATACCCTACACTGATGTTTTTTTAAGGTCATGTGCCATTGCCCGGTATACATTTGCCCGGTATACGCTACACTGATGTTTTTTTAAGGTCAAGTGCCACTGCCCGGTATACCCTACACTGATGTTTTTTTAAAGTTCAGTGCCATTGTCCGGTATGTATTTGCCCGATATACCCTACACTGATGCTTTTTAAGGTCAAGTACCATTGCCCGGTATAATTCTTACATTTCATACTTTGCCTGAAAACATCCAGTATTCTATACAATGCCGGCAACATACATATATAAAGATCTAACTAACTTTAAAGTAAAAAAAAAATTTTAAAACAAAAGCAAAACAGATAACAATAATAAAAGCAAAGACATAAGGAAAAAATTCAACAAATAACATATTTTATACGTGTTCGAAAATGACAGCAAACGTCGCAGAAAATAAACATAAAAACAAATGCGAACGGTGACGGTAAACCTTTGAAATTTAACCAATACGCCAAGGAAGCGAACAAAAAAATCCCCAATATTCTCAGTGTAATTTCCCTCTTTCCCTATTTTCACTCTTCCGACGAAACTCTAAGTATTTAACATTATGGAATCATCCTTCCCCTAGTCGCTTGTTATAAAATTCTATCATTTAAAAAAAATATTTATTTAAGATTTGTTTTTCTCTTTGCGTGCTCGACAATGCACGTGTCTAATAAGAAAAAATATAATTGGATTTATTTTCGTTGTTCAGCGCTCTTAATTACAATGAAAAATTTATAAGAAATTTTTTTTATAGTTTTATGGCGCATTAATATATAAATACCTTTTTTTTAAGTCCAATGGATTTTGTTTTAAGACCAAAAATTCTGAAATGACATATCCTAAAATATGCAAGATATCCTAAAAATTAAAACTCATCATTTCTTTGAGTAATAAATAACTGTTGCTGTTGTTGCTAATTCCCATCTGGTCTAACGGGGTCAGACCAGATCAATGAATCCGTTGATATTGAGAAAATCCGAAACCAGAATGGGAGAGGAATGAATATCGTTCCAGTCCAGCCCTAAACAGATCAAGATGTGCTCAGGTGATGCCTGGTTTTATTGGCATTTAAGGCAAAGAGGAAAGATCTTTTGATTTGCAGAAAATGTCAGACTTTTCAGGTGTCCACTGGCCAGTCGGGATAGGCAGGTGTTGGTTTGCCTGTCACCAGGGAGAGATAGAGAGAGTCCTGGTCTTTTTGCTTTAATAAATAACTAATGAAGTTAACTAATTTTAAATGCTTTTTCTTTCTCTAAGTTACATATTTAAGTAAAACTTGCATTTCATGCCGTTATTTAAATTACGGGTTTCATGAGGGTAATATACTGCCCTTGCATCAGAAAGGTCCTGGGTTCGAATCCCGGGCAAGGCATGGATGTTTCTTGCTCTCTCTCTCTGTGTTCTATGTCCTTTCTCCTTTGTGTGTGAATGTGACCCGCCCTAAAAACGGGTTGTGGTTGCGTGAATGGCGTGGGTGAAGTCGAATTCCTGGCCATAGATGGCGCCACTGAAAAACAGGAACAATCGCATCCCCACTGCCTAAACAGGCATACGACAAAAAAAAATGAGGGTAATATTTGGTTTTTCAGAATCCTTGTCAGGAATGAAGGAATAAAATCTTTGCAAATTATAAGCAGAAAATAAATATTTTAGTAAGAGTGAAGAAAATGACGTCGAAGTCTGTTGAATCGCAAAAAAGGAAGGTGGGATGAGAAACATCAAAACTGGATCGAGGTAGGTTGTCAAGTCTGAAATTTGTAGGGGATAAAAGACAAAGCGGTTGTAGATATAAGGAACTACTTCATTCATCAAAGTAATTATCAATCCATATTTTTCTTACACTTTTGCCATGTATGTAGCAGGTTGTTCTGGCAAGTTTAATCCTGACTGCGAGAGTCAATAAATTTCTGAAAGATCAGTTTTACAGCATTTTCGAAATAAAACTGTTTTCTATTAAAATGCTGCAAAATTTAGAAAGATATTGCTCGAATTGGCTAGGCTTTATGAATTTCTGAACTTCTTCATCATCATCCAGATGATGAAAAAGTAAAAATTCTAACTCGTGAAGTTTTGCCAAAGTTAATTCCGTAGCGTGTTGTCAATGTCATTGACAATGTCATGCAGTAACACCAGAAATGATTTTCTGAATAATCTAAACTATTTTTCTTTAAAGTTATGAATCATTTTGTCGAGTTAGTTGCATTATATTTCTATTGTGAATGATGAGCCAGCTTTCATAAAATCTTAATGGATCACATCTGCCGTTAGACCTCCAAATACTCATCATCAGCATTTTCGGTACATATTACGCTTTGGAGAGTGTTCTAGTGGTTACTCTTTGTTCAAACAACTCTACAACCAAATAACGCTGGAGCTAAATACACTCGCATGATCTGCAATGTCAGGTTCCGCATAACAACTCATATTTCATATTAATGCGAATTATCAACAGTTTCCTCTCCAATAAAAATAATTTTAAAAAACTGTTTTTAAAACTGTTCAAAGCTTTCTTTTTGGAGTTTATGATTTTAGGTAGGTTAGACAGTAGCTCTTTGTTAGAAGAGAAAGAAAAGCAGTAAAATATTAAGCCATCATTATACAGGGTGTTTATAAAATCCCGGATCCATTTTGATGTTTAATAACTCATAAAATAAGAAAGATAGATAAAAATTAATAACATAAATGGTTAGATAGACTCACAAACTTTCATGGCCCTTGTCAATGAGCTTCCACGTGTGCTCCCTTCGTCGCACGGAGAATATCAAGTCGATAGTCAGTTTCACGCCAGGTAGCGGCCAGCATGTCGGCATCCACAGAGGCTATTCCTTGGTCACCCAGATCACCTGATATAACGCCGCTGAACTTTTTTCTTTGGGGATTTATAAAGGACAATGTTTACAGGAGGATCGTGTCGAACATTGATGACCTAAAAGCCAGAATTACAACCTCAATAGCCTCTGTGAATGCCGACATGCTTGCCGCTACCGTGCGACGAAGGGGGCACACGTGGAAGTTCATTGACAATGGTCATGAAGCTTTTTGAGTCTATCTAACCATTTATGCTATTAATTTTAATCTATCTTTATTATTTTATGAGTAAACATCAAAATGGGTCCGGGACTTTATAAACACACTGTATTATAATATATTTATGTATATCAATATATATCTATATCATTATGTATCGTAATACCCTCATTATAAAATCTAATAAATATCATATTATAAACTGTTAAGGCAGACGTATCCAACATAGAAATTTCGTCCTAGAAAATGTAATAATCATCTTATTACATTCCCTTTCTTTTTTTACTGTAATCATGGTTTTGATGATCCTAGTCCCAAACTTTATCAAATGTCATTTGTGAAGCTCTTGTATTGGTTTATTTTCCCCTTGATATTAAAATTAATTTGTAGCCTTTAATGTTCATACTTTTTTGAATTCCTTTTGACAAAAATTCGAAAATGTACATTAAGGGTTGTCATTAAGGAACACCCGGCATGCAGGTTTTCTAAAAAATCAAGAAACAGCGTAATTTACGTATTCTAGTATTAATAGATTCTCCTTTCAAACTCATGCAATGTTCAAAATTGAGGTTATTTTTATGTTTATTACCTTTAATATTATCAGCAAATAACATAATTATATTTTCTATGCAAAATTGACGTATTTTAATTAAAAGAAAATTTCGTCACTCCTGTTGTCTGCTTATAACAGTTCGATATGAATACTTAGACAGTGGCCATTACATTGGAAGATAATTGTGAAATATTGAAACAATACTACTTAAATTTGCAAAAAAATTATAAAAATGCAACTTATCATTTTGAAATCCAGAGTTATAGAAAATTCTTAGAAATGTAGTTCTACTCTATGACATAGGAGAGAACATAGCTGCAACCTTTTTGTTACATCAATTTCTCTTCTATCTTCATAACTCCAAATGTAAGTTCCTGAGGAGCTTTTTATTTTGGACATAGCTCTAAAAGTGTGTTTAAAAAAAGAACATATCTCGAAAAGCGTGTTTAAGAAAGTGGAAATAGCTCTTGTTAGGGATTAAAGAAAGCCGACACGGACTTTGCTAATATTGCTGATTTTAAAAAGTAGATATAGCTCGAAATGTCTGTTGTAGATTAGGTACATACCTCGAAATCCTTAAATAAGTATTTTTTTATTATACCAATTTTCTTAAAATACGCATTTTGAATTATGTTCGAAGTAAAAGCTCACACCGACAATTTTTCCCCCAGCAAATAACAAAACAAATATCTTCATCCGTATAAAAGAGAATAGATTTTATAAATTAACTCATCAGAGTAGTGTAGGGGGTAGGGGGCAGGGAACTGTCCTTGCATCAGAAAGGTCCTGGGTTCTAATCCCGGGCAAGACATGGATGTTTCTTTCTCTCTCTGTGTGTTCTATGTCCTTTCTCCCTTGTGTGTGAATGTGACCCGCCCTATAAACGGGTTGTGGTTGTGTGAATGGCGTGGCAGAAATCGAATTCCTGGCCATAGATGGCGCCACTGAAAAACAGGAACAGTCGCACCCCCACTGCCTAAACAGGCATATGACAAAAAAATCAGAGTATCGAATTTAGAGCATTCTGACGTCATGAGAAGATGTATTTTTTGAAAGTGAACTGGATGCATTATGAGGCATTTAGAGAAAAAGTTAGAGATAGAGCCATTTAGTGGTCTGGATGCACTTTTTCTTAGACTTCATCTTTTATTAAAAAAATTAAAAGTGGATGCATTTTTAAGCATATAAATATATAAATTATTATACAAATTATAATACAAATCATTAAAAGAAGAGGCTGCATTTTTAAAAAATCAATATCCTTCGTGACCAATTTGTGTAAAACTTTCATTTGCAGTACATGAAAACCTCTCGTCGTTAGTCCGATGACATTGGAACTTAACGTAAAAATGCGTAAGTGAAAAATGTGTTTTTAGTACTGGAATTTCGGCTAAACTATTAGTCCCAACGACTTGATTTTGATATCACTAGGATCTGTTAACACAATGTATATGATTCAAAATATTTTTTTTTAAATATAGTAATATCAAATTCGTTGATTGGTAGGATCAAATACAAAACGGTGTTTTTAACAGCTAAAACTTACTTAAATTTTGATCTATTAGCCTTTTTACTTCATTTTAGTCTCACTTTATTCAGCATAAAAGAAAAATTGGAAAATTAATTCTTTCCTTTCAATAGGTATTTCAGACCCGACAATATGTATCAAAAAAGCAAAAGTCATCAGTGCAATCAAAAACTATACTTTTTTATACTTCATGTTTACTATATCTCTTATGTTCTAAATTATTAACTCTATCGACTTGGTTTTAATGCAATTCAGTTCAGCATAAATACTTCAAAAAAAATAACTTGTCACTATAGTAAAGTTCAAGTTTACCTATTTTTAAACCCCTAAAGTTTATAAAAACTTTGACTTATTATGCTGAATTAATATCTTTGAAAGTAATTCAAGATAATGGCTGAAGCATTATCTCTTGGAAAGGGGCTACTTTAAAGACAATTACCAGCTTTCCTTTAAACATATCTGCTTCAGAACCGGCATAAATATAAACGGGCATGCTATTTGGTGTATACATGGATTTTTCCTCTACCGACCGGTACAATGCTCTGCCCAGATCGGTATATAGTATTACCTTCATAAATCTTTTTGGTCAGGGTTAACATCTTAATGTAGACAAACCTGCTCGACCCACACATGAGCAATATAGGTCTTAGATTTTTTTACCATTTACATTCCTTAACGTGCCCTGTATTCTTACTGAATGATTTATTGAGAAAGATTTATTAATTTCTAAATTACAAATCTATGAAACAAAGGGTAACAGAGGAATGAATTCTATTGTGAAAGCTTCAAAAATTTCTTGTCATAATTTTGCAATTTAGTTACGAAAGTTGCCAACAGATTGCGCAGTATTATGTACGAACTTCGTGAAAAGAATGCAATTACCGTAGAATTATAATCTGTGATATTCCTGCACCAGAAGCGTATGTTGTTGAGTAGAATTCCTGGTTTAAACCTTCTAATTCGGTACAACAACCATCTTTTGCATTTTCACGCTGGAACTAATAGCAATAATCATCGATGGTTTGCAGCGCCACCTGTTAGTATTTTTTGATAAATTCCGAAATTTCTGAATAAACTTTTCACAGCTTTGATAGTAAATATACCGCTAGTTTTATTTCTCTAACTCCTTTTGTTTCCGAGGTTTTCAATTTTGAAATCAGTAAGTCATTCTCACTACACTTACAACTGATTCTTTCTTGGTACTGCAGATTTTTTTAATTCAGATATACAAAGTGCTTTGCTGATAAGAAATATTTTCATATCTATAGCTTATTCGCAAGGGAATGGAACGACACAGACACAAGAACAGAGGAGTAGGTTTCACCTTCAAACAATGGACAAATATGACATCACATCTAATAGGTGCTAAAACGGAAATAGGTTTTAATGTTCAAGAATACGTTTCCACTGAAAGCATGCACACCAATCTTCTCTCTGACAATCTTCCTGGAGATACTACTATCCATCCATTGGAAACAAATCACTTGGAACTCATCTATGATTACGATTTGCAAGTAGTTGGATGTGAACGGCGGGCATTTTTGGATTTAAGTTTCAATGAACCCCATTGCAAAACTTTGATTGCTTTGAAAAATGAACGTTGTGTAGGATTTGGTTCCGTTAAGTTAACTGTTTGGGGAGCCAAACGAGTCGGACCACTTTACGCAGATGATTCAAAGATAGCAGAAGCGTTGTTGAAATCGTTGCTGGAAGGATTTCCTCAGGGAAAAGGTGTTGCAGTAGTAATTCCTCCTGCCAATTCCGAAGCTTTGAAGTTAATGAACAAGAGTAATATTCCATTAAGTAAAGATTTGTATCAAGTTCATGAGGATGGCGTTCCGCAGTCAGATATGTTGAAAGTATATGCATTATTTGATGTGAGTGGCACATCAATATGAACATATTACTTCATAAAATTCAGGATCTATTTCTACAAGAAAACTTATGAACAATTAAGGAACTATAAGGATTTATGGCTCTCTTTTTCAGAAGTAATTACGAAAGAAATATGTGTTTATTTTAGTAGTAACAAAAGCCTTCATTTCAGGCTAAATCTGTGAGATGAACATAATCACCAAATTCATTATTCGGTGGGCGAAATAAAAGCAATACACTCTTTAATCGACGTATCATTTTTTAGTTAATAGTAGGAGTTTGATGCACTAAGAGGCAATATTCATGGCTTGCTGCTTTGAAACAAAATATAAAAGTTATTTTGCGTAGTACTAGAATTTAAGTGACCAAAAAGGAATCATATTGTTTTAATGGGAAAAAAATATACTGAGATAATCTAAAATCTACCTTAATAATACGAAAAAACATTAATTTTTCAAAATAAAAAATAGAAAAAACACAACTTTCAGTTAAAGGAACAAAACTAAAATATTCCAGACAATTTTAAAATAATTTACTTTGGACTTAATTATTTTTTAAGCTTAATAAAATTTTTCACTTTTTTGTTAAGAAAAATCATTTTGAACTTCAGACAATGAGTAACAGTAGTATTTTTTATTGGTTTTTATATATATATATTAAGGTAGATTATTTAAAATGAATGAATAATGCAAGTTTGAGGCAATAATTTTTTTTCCCTTGCCTGTAGAAAATTTCAAATTTCAAGTTCATTTCGTTACAAGTGAAATATAAATATGCTTTGAGGGGTTTATCTGAAGAAAGCAACAACACTCTAAATTTTTGTTTTGTTATATTATAAGTATATTGCTGCCTAGTTATGGGCACGCATGGTTGTTTCCATGGGGCATTGTTGCTTTCCAGAGTTACGCTCCTCAAAGTTTGTGGAAAATCAGGTTTCTGGTGATTTTCTGCCATAAAAATCTTGGTCAAACAATAGCACTCCAATCATTTTTTTACTGAATATTAAAGTTAACTATTAAGACAAGTTCTGAGATTCAGTACTTTGCTGATTTATCAATACTTTTAGCCGATAAAGCCATTCAAGCTTTCAAAAAATGCATAATCTGCGACTTTTTACATATTTAACTTTTTTTCAAAACGTCATCATCGCTCGAAGAACTTAGTATACCATCCTGTAGGTAAATATATCTACTAACACGTAGAAAAGAAAACTCAAGGGGACCTCAGCCCATTTTAAAGATTGATTTTTCTTTTCCACGTGTAAGCAGATGCTTACAAGATGGAACAGTTAGTTTTTTGGAGGGCGATGCCGTTTTGAGAAAAGCTAAATAAAAAATTGCTGATTTTGCATTTTTTGAAAGTTTGAATCAACTAAAAGAATGAATAAATCAGCAAAGTGCTGAGTCACAGAGCTTGTCTTAATAGTTAACTTTAATATTCAGTAAGGAAATTATTAGGGTTCTGTTGTTTTACCAAGAACCATGAAAATTAAATCATTATTAAAAAGTAGGATATGACCTTAAAATTGATATATTGATGACAGTTAATTATCAAACCTGACATGAACGGTAAAATATAAATTGAGAAACCATTATTAAGGGGACACAGTACCCAAAAAAATGACAAAAATACTAATTTTTTTTTATTGCTTATAATAAAACTTCAAACTATTTCAAATGCACTGAAAAAAAATCATGTCTCTATCTACATTTTTGAAAAAGTTATGAATGATTTTAGATTGTCCTAATACAAAATCTTGCTCTGCAGACAAACTTTAAAGGGCTTTTTCTCATAAATGATAATTTTGTGTTTTGATCTTGATTAAATCCCTAAGGAATTTTTCTATTTAAGATAAAGCTTTGAAGTAAACTTTTTTATCTTAAGTATAATACACTTATTTAAGCTGTGCATGGAATAAGCATTTTATAAGGTATTACAATTTTTACAGCATGTTAAATATACTTAACAGGAATTTTTACCCTTTTTTTCTACTTTTTTACAAAATATTTTATAAAAAATACTCTAATTGATATATCGATAAATGAATACACAAAATTGTTAAGAAGAATATTGTAAGCACTAAGAAAAAAAAAATTTTGAAAAATAAGTTAAAATAAAAAATCCTTAGGGATTTAAAAATTTTGAATTTTTTCAACTTTTTTAAAATTTTAAAAAATTTAAACAGTTTAATTGTTTTTTAAAGACAAATTATTGATTATAAGCATGTAAAGCATCCTCAATATGAATGATTATACCTTTATTTAAAAAAATTGTTGCAAAGGTGCTGTAACCCCTTAAAATAACAACATCGTTTGTTTCTTATTCAACACAAAGAACATTAGACTGAATGGCATATTTCAGACTTCAAATTTACTCTCTTTTGTTAGAATGCATTAAAAGATTAAGTTCTGAGCTACCATTTTCACTCCACTGAGTCCATAGGGGTAGTAGTACGAATACTCTTTACGCCGATATTTATTAACCCGATTTTAATGAAATAATGCACTCGTAAGGTATGCAGCAGTTGCCTAATTAGTCTAATTAGGGCGAGCTATCCACATCATCAAATTTCCGGTTCATCTAATAATAATCCTCTACAGGCGGATGTCTTATGCAATTATACATTGTAGAAGGAATGTTATTAATATAATACCCTAATTTAGACATCAGCAAGAATAAGAAACCTTACTTTCACCTTGTTTGTTGTTCGTCGTGCGATTTATCAGTTCATTACAGGAGGCAGATTAATTTTCCTTTTAATCAGTCATGATTTTCCTTCGGAATAAAAACTGCTCTTGATGCTTCTAACTTGGTGAAATACTAATTTAATTCATTTGATTCACAGTTTGATAAATGAAGAGCTGAACTCATCAATTTCATCATCTTTGCTCACGAATTGACAGAGCATTATTTTTTAGCTGAGAAATGAAAGGAAAAGTTGCTTTAAGATTCTTAAACTGAGAGAAGAAATGGAAAGTTGAGTTCTTATACAAATTCTGTCTCTATAAACATTAGGAGATGATTCTGAAATTTATTTTTAAAGTAAAAGATAAAAGGGAAAGTTGCTTTAAGCTTTTTTTGGTGTTCATTTTCAATAGAGAGATGAAAGGGAATTTTCATATACAGATTCTGGCTCTGGCAGCATAAAAACATTAGCAGTAGATTTGAGAATTTATAAGTTTAAAAAAATGGAAAGTTTTTTGAAGCTCTTTTGATAATCATTTTGAAGTTTAGTGATAAAAGTTCTTTTAGGCTCTTTCAAGTCTTAGATTTAATTTGAAAGATGAATAGGAACGTTGAGTTACATGAACGGGCTCTGGTTCCAGATCATGAAATGAATTTTTTAAATTGGTTCCTTCATGAAAAAACCAGAAAAACTAGCATTTTTTGGTCCTAGATCACAAAATCATGAAAGATGACCACGAAACAGAAAGTTTTGCAAAGCTAATGTCAAGCTCAGTTATTATTAAAGCGATGTTTTTTAAAACTTGTTTATTAGTCAAAATGATTCAAAATACTTTTTCTATAGCCTCGCTTGGATAAACTAAAGTAGCAGGGCCTAATAGCCTTTACCCGATGAGGAACAGTTTTGTTTTAAATAAATTGCATTGTAATAATTTTTTTTATAATAAAGGAATACACAAATCAGGGGAATTAATAAACAGAATCTTGATATAAAATGGACCAATACATTAATACCACAAAATAATAAGGCTCGTAGTAATTAAACTTTGTTAGTTCCAAGCATTTCTTACAAAAGATATGGAGTAAAAGGACTTGATATCTTAAGTTGAAGAAATTTTGTTCAGCTTTTTATTTTCCTTTAGCAACTTTATTTCAAAAACGCTATAAGATCCGGAACATTATCGCTTTGCTTTAGCCTCTGTGGTTGTTTTCCCAATTACTCCAATGAATAAAACTAAGATCGAAATATTTAATAATGCCGAATCATTCTTCAATAAAGTTGGTTTTACAAAAAGGAGAAATTTATCAAATGCATAATTGCTTGTTTTTATGGTCGTCAAGGAAGATTTTACAAAGCCGCAATAATGTAATAATTAAAGTTAAAAAGGCTTTGCAAAAATTAAGTTACGTTGCTCACATTTAAAAATCTAACTGCCTATTAACATTGTTTGGTGTATCAAATATTCATCTCAGTAAACTGGATGATTAAATTTAAATATTAAGAATATCAGATCAAAACTAACTGGCCGAACAAATTAATCCAAAATCAGCACGTGTAAAAATTGAGAATAAATTTAGATCTCATGTGGAATCCATATATTACACGAATAAAGCTGTAAATAAAGTATACTCTTAAACATTATGCTAATATAATCATTCAAAATGGTAACACGTGCTGGAAATTACATTAAGATCGTAAGGTAGTGCAAAACGTGTGTAAAGCTCAATTCTCTAGAGTCAAAAAAGAAATTTAGAATAACTTAAAATGAAACAAATCAATAGAACAGAAAATATCAAGGACAATTGAACAAAAGTATACTTACAAAAATTTTATTTTCTTGACTATCTTTGGAATTATAATTACTTTAAGATACAAATACTTATTAATTAACTAAAATACAAAAAGAATTGCCAGAGTGTATACCTCCTGGCCGCCATATATAAAAATTGCAATTAATGCAAAACATTAAGATTTATAAACTCAGATGCATAAAGATAGCAAAAGATAGAATGCATAAAGATAGCATTAGCAAAATTTCCATGCTCACAAAAAAATACTCTCAAGAGTACACTCCAAAGAGAAATTAGCTTAGGGGCCGAAGCCCCCTAGCCTCACCAAATCCAGCAATCAACTCACAAAAAAAAGTTTCAATCCTCGCGGTAAAATCAGCCTGATGCCACTATAAAAGAAAAGTCTTTTTATTACTTCTTCGGCTTATCAGCCCGACACTATTTCGCCTCATCTTTAGCGGAATTCCAAGCCTCTCATTCCTTCATCTGATTGGCTCCTTCACCGTTTCATTGTCCAATAAGAGATGATTGTAGGCCGAATGATAAGCTCTCCTCAGACACTGCATTCGATGTTGTTCTGTTTAGAAACTGAAACTAGAATGTCTTTAAAATGTGTGAGAAATAATTTGTGAGTTCTTGTGCAGAGGTGCGATATTATTCTTCGAAAGTGTTGTCACAATAAATGTTAAATTCCTATTTAACACTGCCCTACTAATAAGTCTTTTTTTTAAAGTATCTCACCCTGTATATAAGTCAACTCCCTACTGCAA